CTTTTTGAATACTGTAATAGCCAATATATAGAGGTGTGCTTTTATGCGAGCATAGGAATTCAATTTAGAAAAGAAAAAAATCATATGAGAACTACTCAACTTTTTAAAATCGCCGAGCAAGAAAAGCAATATTGAGCATTCAGGCTGACTTTATGCAGTTTCTGTGCAGGTCCTTGACTTAAGTCCACGAGCAAAGTCAAGACTCTCCTCCGTTTTGGTAAATAGCTGCATGGTAATCTCAGGTTAACTTTTCCCCTGGATTTTACTGTGAAGTGGCTTTTTAAATATTTTTTTAAAAAATAAGGTTTGTCATATATATTCAGGAGTCCTATAAAAGCTGTTCAAAGGACTTGGTCCAGACCCGTGTAGGCATTGTTCTTGCTGCTTCGGTCTCTGAGTTCATATGAGCTTTGCTCATGCTGATATAAAGGGCATTGTTCTGCAGGTGTCCTCCATCCTCTCTGGCTCTTATATTCTTTCTACTTCCTCTTGCATTGGTTCCCTGGGTTCTGAGGAGAGGGATTTAATGGAGACATCCCAATTAGAGTTGTATGTTCCAAGATCTCTTTCTCTGCATATTGTCTGCCTGTGGGATATCTGTATCTGTTGCCATCTGTTCCAAGAGGAAGCCTCTCTGATGATGGCTGAATATACTGTGAGTATAGCAGAATATCATTAGGAGTCATTGTATCACTTTTTTTTTTTTTAAATTTAAGACCAGTAGTTAAGTGCCCTAGGTCTCTGGTCTATCTATCTAGCCCCTGGTTCTTGGTCGCCCAAGCAGTGTTAGGTATTGGTTTCTTCTCATGGAATGAGCCTTAAGTCAAGTCAGATATTGGTTGGTTACTCTCAAAAGCTTTGTGCCACCATTGCCCTAGCATATTTTGGAAGCAGAACTGCATTGTAGATAAAAGGCTTTGTGTCTGGGTTGGTGTTTATGTTTCTCTGAGTCCCTTCCTATACCAAAGACAATAGAAGGTTGGGGTTAAGGTTCTATGTAAGTGCCAGCTTGACCTCTTCATGTTCATTTTGTGTGGCTGTTGCTTCAGAAGTGAGAAATTTGTGGAGGTAACAGCCTGGGTTATTTGGGAATTTCCATGGGGCCCCTTTGTCCAACAACTCAATTGGATATGTAACCCAGTCCTGTTACTGGAAGCTTTGTTTGGTGACAAGAGATGGCCAGGTGGGACTCTGTTTTCTCCATTATTTGGAGACTTCGTTAGGCTTGCCTTCATATATTTTAGGAGGTTTCCACTGCAGTAGACTTCCATACAATCCCCCAAATGTCCCTCACTTCTAGCTGTCTTTCCTCAAATCCTCTCCCTCAATACCATCTCCCTTCCTCTCTTGATCCTCCTGATCCCATTCTCCCACCCCCAGTTCACCTATAAAATCTATTCTATTTCCCTATCCCAGGGAGATCCATGTGTCCCCCCAGTTTCTTCCACTGTACCTAACTTCTATGGGTCTACCAATGGATGTAGCTTGGTTAGCACTCATTTAATGGCTAATATCCACACATAAGCAAATGCATACCATAGTTATCTTTCTGGATCTGGTTACACTCAGGATGATTTTCATCTAATTCCATACATTTGCCTGCAAATTTCATGATGTCATTTTTTAAATGTCTGAGTAATATTCAGTTCTAAGATTCACATTCTTTACATCATGGACTGCAGTGTCTGCTAAGCCAACCTCTGATTGTTTAACATCATTTTGTGCATCAATCTGAGTTAACAACTGCGTTCATGTTGATCTCTAATCCCATTCCCCCCCGCCCACAATTCTGCAAGAATAATGTGAACCTTCTCTACATGGAATATTGAATTTGGTTCACAGACATTTTCAAAACTTTTGTCTAATATTCCTACAAACACCTGCATTAGATCTAAATGAGATGAAATATTTGTAATTTCTCAGGGGGATTATTAACTGGAGGATCTGACAACTGACTAGTTTATAGACATATACTCTGTATTTTGTCTTTTCTGTGAATTCCTCAGAAGGTGAACTTGTCATTTTAGGCAAAAACCAAACACTTTTAAATGAACTTAATGAGACAATACTTATGTTAAGCAAGCTCCTGCGGCAGGTAACTAAGAGCAGGTCAATAACTGCACTGATTTAAGGGAGGTCTGGTATCAATGTATTGACTTTTTTTTAAAAAAGCTTTATCTATTATGTATAAAGTGCTCTGCCTGCATGTCTGCCTGCAAGCCAGAATAGGGTGCCAAATCTCATTCTTGATGGTGAGCCACCATGTGGTTGCTGGGAGCTGAACTCAGGACCTCTGGAAGAATAGCTCTTAACCCCTGAGCCATCTCTCCAGCACCCAGTGTATTGACTCTTGATGTTAGAAATGTTTATATCGTACACATATTGTCTCCAAGTCATATCTTTATACATATACATTTATTTATTTTAATTTCATTTTACAGTCCAACCACATTTCTCCCTCTCATCCCCCAACACCTCCCCCCAACCAAGTCTAATCTTTTACCTTATGTAACTTACTCAGAACTTCATAACGTACACAAGAGTCCCAGCTTTCTTTCCCATTTTGGAAGTATCTAGCCATCTTAGTCTTTATATAAAATACTTCTTTATTAAAAAATATTTTTATTCTTGTCTTCATCTTATTCATCTTTTCCTTTTTCTTCCATTTGTTCTCTTTCTTAATACAATGACATATATTAACATTAACAAATAATGTTCTTCCGTGATTGCACATGCAAAGATAATTGCATTGATGTATTCTTTCATAAAGATGGGTGGAGCCCATGAAAATTAACTCACTGAATTTTCTTTAAATAATACTGCGGATGTCTAAGGAGAGCAGGAAATGCTCGCATAGGGACAAGCTTCAGGTGTGGGTGCCCCGGATGCCACATCTCAGTTTTTCAGCACAGGAAGCCATCTTGTGAAATGCCATGCTACATGCAAATAGGCTTGGAAGGCTTGTTCTTCTGGTACTGGGACGGGGTTTTGCTCTCAAGCCGGTGAAAGTATCTTCTCCTCTCTTAGTGTGACCCGCAGCGCCATCTGCATGGTCAACCTCTGAACCTGGCGTTGCCACTGTTAGGGGATGAAGAGCTCACTGTACTCTCGGAATGATCTTCAGCTTTCTGGACATTATGATATGCTTACCATCCATGTCTTTTTCATTAGTGATTTCATAAATGATCTTTTAGTCAGGTTGTTTTCTTTTAACAATTTTTTTCCCTAAAAGTGTGTTTCTTTATTTTGTGTGTGTGAGTGCGTGCTCTGGCCACAGTGCACATCTTGCTGGAACTGGTTCTCTTCTTCCACCATGTGGGTTCTGAACTTAGTTCATCAGGCTTGGTGGCAAGCACCTTTGCTCACCGAGCCGTCTCAGTGGCCCGGATGATATCTTTGCTAGCCTGGTGTTCCCAGGCTGCCTTGGTGGGCTTTCCCAATGTGTCGCTCTCACAGCCTTTTCCTACATTCACTCTGGTCTGGTTGGTTCCTGGAGCTCCCGTCCTTAACCATAGCCTTGTCTGGCTGCAAACAGAGCTTGGGCTTCTGGAGGGAGCAGCAGGGAGCACAAATCACTTTTGTAATCTGAAGTTACAGCAGCTCCAGACAGTAGTGGCCAGAGCCCAAGGTGCTGCCACACTTTACTCATTGCTGGAACCGCTCGCAGCCTGAGGGGCCACCATATGTGTGTCTGTGGGTCTCTGGAGCCACCCTCAGCCTGAGGGGCCGCCGTATGTGTGTCTGTGTCCCCGGAGCCGTCCGCAGCCTGAGGGGCCACCATAGGTGTGTCTGTGGGTCCACAGCCTAAGGGGCCACATATGTGTATCTGCGGGTCCCCAAGTGGCCATCAGAGGCATTAGCCTGAGACTTAGTTGCTTAATTGTAAAATTTGTTTTGTATTATTTTTTAAGGCTTTTGTGGCACTGAGCATTGAGCTGAGGACCTTGTCTGTGTGCAGCAAGCACAGAGCCACTGAGTACCTACGCTCACTGTTGACTTTAATTCCCTGTCTGATAAGTCCAGCACTCCTCCTGTACCTGACATGGCTGCTCCTGCTTGCTGTCTTCAAATTCTGCTTTGTTTAACTTTTAACAATTGAATTTGCCTTGCAGTTTGTTGTTGAATTCTGGACACGATGATCTTGGTGAAAGAAGCAGCTCTGTGGGCTTGTGGTAAAATGGTAGCTTGTACCGGGGGGATGAGGAGCATTCTGGTGGTTTGTGTTTTGCTGGAGTCCTTTGGTGAGCACGTACCCCCGCGTGTGGACTTCCTTCATGTGTGCTGGTTCCTACCCTTGGTACAGGCTGGAGTTGGAGGTTTCTCTTTTCCCAGTTGGGTTTCAGGTATGGAAAAGTAGCTTCTCACCTGGTGTCTTACTTAGGGTTTCTTTTGCTGTGAAGAGACACCATGACCACTGCAGCTTTTATAAGCTTACAGGTTCAGAGGTTTAGTCCATAATCATCCTGGCAGAGAGCATAGTGGCATGCAGGCAGACATGGTGCTGCAGAAGGAGCTGAGAGTTCTCCATTCAGATCGGCAGGCCACAGGAAGGACAGGATAGTGGGCCTGGCTCACCCTGGTGACACACTTTCTCCACCGGGCCACGCCTACTCCAACAAGGCCACGCCTCCTAATAGCCACTCCCTGAGCCCGTGGTGACCATATTACTTCAAGGCACCGCACTTGGTTACTACTCATCAATATTACCTTTTAAAAGATGGTTTCTTTCTCCATTCCATGGCTAGAACTAGCTCAAGGAAACTTTTCTCTGCTAATTTACTGTAAGAATCCACATACAGTTCCCAGAAGTAAGATTTGTGAAGCTACAGAGACCTCTCTACGAATTTTCCACGAATCTTATTCTGCTACAATAACTGTGAAACTTTCAGGCTGTTTTGAAACAGTTTAATCTCAGTTGACGTTATACAAATTTAAACCGAAATAGAGATTTATTTGCCTAATATTCAGAGACGTGTGATTTCTGTTCTCTTTCTCCTTAGTATTTGGACCATGAGACGCTCTCAGGGACATTCATCGACAGCAGTGGCCAGTTTGTTTCCCCGCAGGCAACGGGCATTAGCCGGAATCCATACTGTGGTTATGAGCACCAGGCCCTGTCCAGTCAGGAACGCTTAGAAGAGGATGCATTGCTTGCTGCCTCAAAGTGGCAGGTGCCTGATGTGGACTTGGTCCCTTTTGTGAAGAGCACCGACCCTTCCTCCAGCTATTTTGTCATCTTGAATTCTGCAGCCTTCTTCAAGGTGGGGAGCCAGCTGGAGGTGCTGGTTCACGTGCACGATTTTGAAGGGAAGCCCAAGAAGTATGGCGGAGACTACCTGCAGGCCAGAATTCACTCGCCCAAGCTGCAGGCGGGGGCCATGGGCAGAGTGGTAGACTACCAGAATGGATTTTACAAAGTGTTTTTTACCCTGCTCTGGCCTGGCCGAGTTAGAGTGTCCATATCTCTGGTTCACCCCAGTGAAGGGATCAGAGTTCTTCAGTACCTGCAGGAAGCTAAACCAGACAGGGTCTATTTCAAGAGTCTCTTCCGCTCGGGAAGGATTTCGGAAACGATGAAGTGCAATGTGTGCCTCCCGGGAAGTCTTCCCCTGTGCAACTTTACAGACCTCTACACAGGGGAGCCCTGGTTCTGCTTCAAACCAAAGAAGCTCCCCTGCAGCAGCAGAATCAACCACTTCAAGGGCGGATACATGAAGGGCCTTCTCACTGCTGCGGACAGTGCTTTCTTTCAGAGGTATGCCCGCGTCCTGGTGCTGGGGGTAAAGAGGTCTGCCCCATTGTCTTTGCCACTTTTAGGGGACCCTTGTAGGTATGCATTCTGTGTCTGTCTGAACTTGGCCCCGTCAGAAGAGGCGTTGCATAAGAAAACTGGGATTTGCACTTTTGTTCAGTGTTTTAAAAGGAAAGTTTAGTGCTTGTTTAACTTTAAGTTAAAGACCTTTTACCCTTAAACCCTTCAATCTTTGTTCTTATTCTGCTGTTTTTTTTTTTTCTTTTCTTTTCCCCAGGACAGGGTATCTCTGTAGCTTTGGAGTCTGTTCTGGAACCAGCTCTTATAGACCAAGCTGACCTTGAACTCAGAGATCCGCCTGCCTCTGCCTCCCAAATGCTAGGATTAAAGGTGTGTGCTATCACTGCTCTCTGCTGTTTATGTTAGAGATACACACCAAGTTTCTTACTGCATAGGCAAGACCACTTATTCACGGAACAGGTTTTTTTTTTTTTTTTCCCAAGAAAAAAAAAACCCCAAGATTATCAGGAGATGGCTTAGCACGTGCTTGCTGTACAAGTCTGACACCTGAGTTCCGTCCTCTGAACCTACATAAAAACCCTGCCGTGGCACACATCTGTAATCCCAGCACTCCTGTGTCAAGATGGATGGGAGGCAGAAATAGAATTGTTGAGAAGCTTACACACCAGCTCACTGGAGTATGCAGTGTGACAGAAACAAGAGAGATCCTACCTTAACAAAGTAGAAGGCCAGAACTAATGCTCAAAAAGTACTTCTCTGACCCACCCCTCATACTGTGGCACTGTGTTTTGTACTTCCTGCCCGCTACCCCAGAATAGAGGTATTGAGGGCTAGTCACTGGTACTTGAGGGTCATGCTAAAATGTTGAAGAAACAGATCAACTTTTAAATATTATAAATGTTTATCTATAATTGGATATGGCAGTATTACTGAGCTAACTTAGTAAGCATAGGATCAAGGTGTTCCACAGTAAACTCTGTATTTTAACAGCTCTTGCAAGTATTATGGTATTGTGCTAAAGTACTTATTTTCAGCATAAAACGGAATGTTTTATAGCACAGCCAGTATATGGTAATGGGCAGAATGAAAAAATATAGAATCAGTCTGAATTGAAATTTATGTTTTCTTCGACATTGCATGTAATTCTAAACTGAAATAACAGTCCTGGGGAAAAGTTACGTTGGACAGGAGAAATTACTTCTATTGTTCTAGTGTAGCAGGGTAACTATTGCTGACAATAGCTAACTGAATACTTAAAAAAATAAGTAAAGTGGAGTTTGAATGTTCCCAGCATACACAAGTGGTAAATATTTGCGATGATATACCATTTTCCCTTTTCTAAGCATTATAGATAAAAGCATGCATTAAAGGTATGTTGTGCTTTGTAAGTGTCTGATTGCTAAGTGACAAAAAGTTTTAAAACTATAAAAAATTATAAAAGTGAAGTTATAAAACTATCTGGTGAAAAGCACAATCATTTGGAAGAACATATAAATGTATTTAAAAGAATTTAAAAGATTTTTTGTGTGTGTGTGTATGGGTATTTTGCCTGCATGTATGTGTGATGTATGTGTGTACACCATTTGCATGCTTGGTGTCGATGGAGGTCAGAAGAAGGAACCAGGGTCACAGATGGCTGTGAACCACAATGTGGGTGCTAGGAGTCAAACCCAGGTCCTCTCTAAGAGCTTAACCATGGAGTCATCTCCTCAGTCCTTCTAAATAATTTCTTTTCTGAACTGAAATTTTTTTCGTACAGCATACTTTGGTGGCACCTTTCCTTCATCCCTAACCCTTCTGGCTTCTCCCCATAAATATTTCCACTTCCATATGAAATGCCTGCATGCAGGGCTCTGGTAGAGAACTGTTTTCATTGAGTAAAGTTAGACATCCTGAAGTTAGACTATTTCATATTTTATGGCTTCTCATATTGGCAGGAGAAATGTTTTTGTGAAGCATGTAGTTGTAGTAGCTTCTTAAATAAAACCGATTTTTCACTTTCCACAAGTCAGCCTGTGGTCCTGTCATGTCCGTGACCTCTTGACATGCATTTATTTTCAGGGCCAGCAGAGGGAGCCTGATTCCACGCATTTACTGGACAGTGCTCTAGAGGACCAGTATTTTGTGTGACTGAATAAACAAAACGAAACAAAGACGAAAAATATCCTACACATAAATCTAAAAGTTTATGTTTATACTATATATTTGGTTTTTCAAGGCAGGCTTTCTCTGTGTTGCCCTGGTTGTCCTCAAACTTGCTCTGTAGACCAGGATAGCCTTGAAATCACTGAGATGCGCCTGCCTCTGTCTCCCAAGTGCTGGGATTAAAGGCGTGCACTATCACTGCCTGGATACTTACTCATTTTTAAGACCAAATCTTACTATATAGCTGGCAAGAAAATCCACCTTCCTGATGCAGTCTTGTAAATGATGAAAATTACAGGTGTGTGCTACCATGCCAAGTTTCAAGAATTCCATTTCCTTTAATTTTAAAATTAAATTTATTTTTAAAAGTTTCATGTATGTGTACTGTATTTACATATTTTAAGTTTGAGCTCAGACCCAAGACTTACTATTTTTTCAATGAGAATAAGCAACGCTATTTTACTTCTATGCATTTTTTGCCTCTATGTGAAGACTATCCAGTTGGATTGGGTCATCAGTCTGTCCCATGGCTCCCAGTGAAGAAGAAGCATGGTTATTTAGCCAAGTTTCATGTGGAAAATAGTGGGGTAAAGGGATAGAGAGCAAAACCTTTAAAGACATTCCTAACACTATATCCCAGCATTAGAGACAAAAGCACATGAAAACCCGTTACTACAGAAAGAGAAAATGACGGCCTGGGATTGTAACTTGTGATTTTTTTTTTCCAATTCCTTCCAAAGTGGTGTCAATATCAAAATGCCGATCAACTCCAGCGGACCTGACTGGGTGACTGTGATTTCCAGGAGAATGAAAGGTAAAAATGAATGAGCTTGAGGATGCTTCTCTTTTCTTTCAAGAGCGTTAATTTTTTATTTTATGAGTGTTTCCCCTGTGTGTGTGTATGCACACTGCAGGCCTGCAGTACTCAGGAGCCAGGTCAGGCTGCTGGAGCTCCTGGGGCTGGAGTGTCAGAAGACTGTGAGGGGCCGTGGAGGAGCTGGGAACCCAGCCGGGGTCCTCTGCGGGAGCAGCTGTGCTCTTGACTGCCGGGCCATCTCTCCAGTCCCGATGTGTTGTTTCGATGTTAACGGGTTTGATGTGCAAGACGTGTTTCACCGTTCTTATGTCATGGTTTCTTCTGAGCACGAACAGAATAGTAAGGGCTTATGTTTACAACTCAGCTAGATCTTGTGTACTTAATTCTGGGCTGATGTAGAAGTTGTCTTCTTTTTCTTCCACTGTGCACTCGATACTTGTTTAGAGCCTCTAGAGCTATGTTTTCTAATAGGGAAGCTTCTAACCTTTTGTGGCCATTAAGACAGAAATGACTCAAAATGAAATAAAATTAAAACCCGAAAAACCCAGTCGGTAACTTCATCATGTTTGGTGGTGTGCCAAAGTGCTGTTGGATCGTGTTGTACTCTAGATAATCAAGACAGGCATGCAAATAGTCACGGAAAGTGTTTAAACACTTGAGTAGAGGAGGAATTTAGGATTTGGTAGAAAAGTGCCCATTTTTTAGCATTTCCAAGGCCTGGGCTCAGTCTGCGGTTGACTCACACCAGCACATACAAACCGGTGAGTTGACACAATTCTAATCTCCGGGTGTAAGTATTAATAAAGAAGAGTAAGCTGGGAACAGCATCTTACATTGTCATTGTTGGGAGGCTGAGGCAGGGGGACTGCTTTGAATCCAGACTAACTTGAACTACATGGTGAGGTCCAGGCTAGCTTTGGCTCTGTAGCTTTCTCTCTCATAGCACCAAAACCAAAAAAAATGCATTCAAAAAGAATGAAACTCAGAGGAGTAAGTGTGCTGTCTTTGCCGCAGGAAATTTAGAGAGCAGGAGGCTTACATAGGAGAAAACTTTGTAGTTATTGAGAACATATATCCCCCACACGGCATGTATTGCCATCCCTATTGCCACAAGTACTAGGTATACAATACACGTGCACCCAGAAGGATGGGTATTATATATTCCTTATGTAAGCTATGCAGAACGAATCAAGGAGCCAGGACCACCTCAAGGGGGCAGTGTGCTCCTTTGTTTCCTGCAAAACCAAACCCGCTGCACCCAGACATCGAGATTTTCTTCACTGCATCAAACCAGAAATCTTCAGGTTTTGTTTGTTTGTTTTTCTCAACTAATCTGAATTTTAAAATGTGATAGTCACATATTTTAAAACGCTGGTATCTGGTTCAGAATTCATGAGAAATCATGTGATCTAGGTGGGAGTCTCGGCCTCCTGGTGGAGATCTGTATTTGATTTACACTTGAACCAGATAGATGGCTTGTTCCTAGTAGGAGCTGTGTGTGTGAAGCGTCATTAGTGAAAACACTTACCTTCAACGATCAGAATTCCTTCAAACCCACGACCAAGGTGTTAGTAGATGTGAATTTGTTCCTCAACACTTCTGCACTTCAGACTCCTTATCCCACTAATGAGTCCGCCCTTCTTCCCTTCCACTCTGCCATGCTTGCCAGGGTTGTCACGTTCCCAGGTGTCCTGTAGAGTCCTAGGTTAATAAGCATTTTTTTTTCATTTTTCAGTAGTGGAAAATTCCATATTGAAGGTGGACAGAACACACAGGAAGACTCCAGGAGCCAGTAAGAGGTAGCTCAGCTTCAGTACAGAGGGACGCGTGGTCGCATTGCTTTATATCCACCTGTGTGCTCCATTACATTATTCTGAAGCAGAGCTTTTACTGGTTACCTCTGCCCACAGGTCCCAGATCGGCCAGGAATTGGTACAGGCTTGTGGTGATGTACTCTTTTATGTAGAGAGAAGATAGGTTCAATTCACTTGGATTTTTTTTTTTTTAATGAAAGAAGGTAACTCAACGTTATTAGGCACTGAATACTGTGGCTTTGAGTGAGGAACTCATATTGTAGCAGGTACATATTAGGGGAAAATTTACTTTGAATATCCAAGGAGCCCAGATAGTGGGAACTTCCTAGCAGGCCACATTGACCAGAGGTGGTACTTTATGACCCTAAGCAGGCTCTGTCTTTCCTTTCACACAAACATTACGTTTCTACTTAAACTTTCACCCGCTAACTTCAACTTCTGTTGGATTCAAATGTAGCAGTTGTTTCCATGATGTTCCTTTCAAGATTTATTTTTTTTAAAAAGATTTATTTATCTAAGTATTTATTATGTATTCAGGGTTCTCTTTGCATGTTTGCCTGCATACCATAAGAAGGCATCAGGTCTCATTACAGACGGTTATGAGCCACCATGTGGCTTCTGGAACTTGAACTCAGGACCTCTGGAAAAGCAGTCAATGCTTTTAACCTTTGACCCATCTCTCCTGCCCCTCCTTTTCAGTTTTATTAATTGGAATGCTGGCGTGAAGAAGGGTTGTCCATTTTCATGTCTACATCACTGTAGACTTGCCATTATTTTGTTTCTTTTAATTTGACTAACTTTATTTTTGAGATGGGGTGTCATTATGTAACCTGGCTATCTGAAAACTTACTATGTAGAACAGGCTGGCCTCAAACTCTCAGAGAGTGCTGAGATCAAAGGTGTGCACTACCATGCCCAGATATTTTATTTTTGAGATAAAATTCAGCTTAACCCAATCACTATTTATGTGTGTGTGTACCAGAATTGTTCCAAATTTGAAGTTGAGTTTGGATTCTGTAAACCCATGCTGACCTCAAATATGAAGTCTGCCTGCCTTGGCCTCCCTGGTGCGGGATTGCGAGTGTGAACCACTTCTCTTCGCCCCCTTGATCTATGCTCACCTCTTCATTGAGCGCTTCCTTACTTTCTGACACCATAAGATGTTTTAGGCTCATTTTGTATCCTCCCCACTCCAACCTTAAGAGTTCAGAATCTTAGCTGGGTGGCGGTGGCGCACATCTTTAATCCCAGCACTCAGGAGGCAGAGGCAGGTGGATCTCTGTGAGTTCCAGGACAACCAGGGTTACACATCACATGAAGCTATAATTTCAGTTAAAAGCAAGAAACAGTTTTTAGTTGAAGTAGACCTGCTTCTCATAAAGGGCAAGTGTCTGGTGGCAGCTAGACTTCCCCAGTGTCGGAATTACTGGTGAGTTTCCTTTCCTGTCTGTGCTGTGGTCCCTATGCGTTCCCAGCTGACTCACTCAGGGACCTTGGTGGACCCTGCCCTTGTTGGGAATTGAACCCTTACCTTATTGGGGACCTCACCTATCTTGCTGAGATGGCTCCCAAACCTATTCCCTTCGTTCTCATGGAATTCCTCTCATCCTGCTCTTTGTAGTTGGCTGAAGAAAATCTCTCAGCCTTGTTTCTTTCCCTGTGTTCTGTTTTCGGTCCAGCTAGCCCTCATTAGGCTCACGGACAGTGTGGAACTGTGTAGTGCTATCCTCCCTAGCCCCCAGCAGAGTAATGCCACCGTCATAAGCCTAGCAGTGTGTGCTCCCCACAGCCGGGCTATTGACTGTTGGCATTCCCTCAGAGAAGCGGGGCATTGGGAGTCACTACTGAACCTTGGTTTGTTTGGGGGACTGTTGTGGGTGGGGTACAGATACTGATTAGTCTCCCCCATGGAGAAAATTCTTTCAACACATGAGATAGCAGTAACCGTTGGAGAAAAACATCAGATCTGGCCCTTGAAGAGAAGCCAAGATATTTAGAGAAGGCGGGACAGTACTTGCAAGTAATCAAAAATGTGCCTTCTGGTTTTACATAAGGAGTCTCAAAAAGTTTATTTTTGAAATATGCCAAAGACATATTTATATTTTGCATAAAGATCTGTCTTGGTAAAATTCCCCCTTTACTAATATTCAGAATAACAATTTAGTAATACTGAATTTTTATTTTTTGTCTTCGTTTTTATTCCAAAGAAATAGTAGATTAGGGGTTATTTTATCAATTTAAGAGAATTTCATATCTTAGTGATTTGAAGGCCCAAGTTGAAGTTCCAAGAAACACTTTTTAAGCAACTTCAAATTATTTGAAACCAGTCAGGAAATGCTGTTGTACAAATTGAGCGTAAGGGGGCGATATAGGCACACACATTCCACTCTTAAACAGCACCCTGCATTTAAAGGATGACTGTCAGATTCAATAATTGATTTGCTTTGCTTGACTAAACTCTGGTAGTAAATATAATTAACATTCTCATGGAAATGGTAATTGCTTCCTGTGTGATATATACTTTTCTTTTTAACATGTATTTGACTCAAAATAACTGAATCTGCCAAATTACCAGGGGTAAAACTGTAACTTCAAAATCACTTTTAATTCTCATTCCAGTGTTTTCTTCGTGCCCCAGGTGTGTTCTCTGTAGCTCACACAGTGTGATAATAAAACAACGAGGTAGTTTTTAGGCAGGCAAAGATGAAACAATACTTGATCGTTTGCTGAGGTTATGTTTGCTCACTGTGATTTTTGGTCTTGTTTTGTGATGGTGTTTTGCTGTGTTCCTCAGTCAGTCTTGAACGCCCGAGTAGTATAGCTCCAAGTGTGCTCTGCTATATTTTCCTAAGGAAATTGCTCTTGAATAAGTCCAATAAATGTTTGTTCTTTGCCTTTCTACGCTTTGGTATTCATACTTGCCAAACTAAAACTTTTTGCCAGATACCAGTTACTTTTCCACTTAGTCTGTGAACCAACAAAGAATTAGCAGATGCCTAAGGTAAAAGAGAATATTAGCGATCAGGGAAAGCCTACGGTTTGTTATATGACATCAGGACATGCCATCCTCAGGCTAGCAGACCAGCAATTATGTGAGCGTAGGTGTATCTATGGGAACAGTTTTCGCCTGTTTTTGGAAGTAAATATTTTCCTGTTTTTATTAAACATAAACTAGCAAACTAGAAAATAGACATTTTGAAAGAGAGAATTGGACATACAAAATAATTTGAATTGAGTATATGGACAGAGTTAAGGAGTCAAATAACCTCTAATAGTCGTAAACAGGCCGACTTAAATTTCTAGGTCACATAGCGTTTACATTCCGATTGTGGCTTAACTGGTGACAGGAACGATTGAACTGTGGTTGTTGCTGAACCCTGGGGTGTATGAGGAAGTGGCATAAAATGATTGATGTTATTTGGAGATTATGGGTTTGAATAATTAAGAAAGGAGTAAGTCTATATACTCAGGGAAGAGACGAAAGAAATGGCTGACATCTCTGCACTCCCTCTTTTTCTCTGCTGACCTGGTACCTGGGAAGCTGGGCTTTGGGTCTCACCTGCCTGCCTCAGGTTCTGACAGTGTCTGAGTCAGGCCCGGACCCTCGCTCTGCTTGCTCACTTTGAACAGCATGAATGATAATTGGAAGTTTAAAGAGATGGTGGTAGCTTCCATGAAATGACATGCTTCCTTTCCCCAAACCGACCCTGGAGCTAGGGATGCTAGCTAGTACTTTATGTTTTGAAGCCTTGCCACCTTGCCGTGTGTCACTTCCACAGTGGCATTTCCCAAGGGAGGTGCTAGGGCAGAGAGGTGTTGACTCTCCCTAAAAGGTGTCCTAGTGCTGCCATTACCATTTGTAGGCCACGGAGGTGAACACACATCGCTGATGCTTTTCAGTGCTGCTTATGATTCCTACAATCCACCACATAACATTGCTTTCTTGTCTGTAGTAGACAATGGTGGTTTTCTGAATTAAAACCTGAATTGGGAACACATGGATTAAACCTTTAATGGACTGGGAAACATTGTATTAATATTGATATATTAATATACATATATACATAATCACACACACACATATAACTTAATGTGAAATTAAGTCATCATTTTCTTTCAGGCATTGGGATTAAAAACTAATCCTCTCATTCTGAAATAATGCTGGGCAGATACTTTTCCCTGGGCTTCGTTTTCCTTTATTTTGCATGTTGATGAACACACACACACACACACACACACACACACACGGAGTGCCTAATATGCCTTTTCCCCCGGTGTCCTCCAATACCCCATACCCACTTCTCATCTTCCCATTTTAGAATATGGGGAAAGCCTGGGATTTCTTCAAGCGAAGCCAACAGGAAGTATTGCCTGTAAGCTTGCAGGACAGCAAATATGTGGTATAGTTTTTTTTTCCTTCTTCTGAAAACTTTTCTTCTTCTTCTTTTTTTTTGTATCTGTTTTTGGAGATGAAATTCAGAATCTTATAATAGATTTCCCTTTTTTCTTTGCAGAAACTGATGACCTAGAAGTATCTCAAGGTTCAGGAACTTTTCCTTCTGGATATTTCTACAAAGACCAGTGGAGGCCCAGGAGGTTTAAGATGCGCCGTTTTGATGACCCTGATAACATCACAGAATGCTTGCAAAGAAAAATGGTGTATTTATTCGGTGACTCAACCATCAGGCAGTGGTTTGAATACCTCACTATGTTTGTCCCAGGTTGGTGCTTTTGCTTTTGGTTTCATAACTGTTTCCCTGTGTACGTGAAATCAGATTTGAAAGGAACAGGCTCCCTTTGGTGCCTGAAGAGAGGCATCAGGCGAGGAGGCAGTTTCTCTATGGGACTAAAGATGTATCTTTTTTTTTTTTTTACCCTTGATGAGTATTTCTTTAATTATTACAATTTCTAGTTTTAATTATTGAAAATATTTTTCATATGATATATTCTGATTATGGTTTATTTTTCTCCAACCCCACCCAAATCCTGTTGGTCAACAAAGGAGTTCCACAATAGTCCGGAATGGAGTACAACAAAGATTTATTTATCTGGGGATAAACTCACAGGAAGAGTAGTGATCCACAGTCGTCTGCATGCGCTGGGAACTGGAACTGAATCCAGCAGCTAGGAGGACTGAGCTTGCTTTTTGTCTGCATTTCTAGTACATGAGGCCATGCCCAGAGTGGGCTGATATAAAGATGTATCTTAACCGTGGAAGATGTATGCCAGCATCTGACCAGCTATGGAGTCTTGGATGTGGCAGAAATGAGGTCTCTCACAGAAGCTTATCCTGCTGTCTCTCTTTGGCCTGGGATGAGCCTCCTGCTCTCCAGGGCTTCATCCTCTGTGTCAGATTAGAGAGCTGAACTATGTCACCGCACGGGTGTCCCTCACTTCTACTAATCTGGATTATAAAACAGTTGGCACTACCAGCTGTTTCTTTTCTGGTTCTGTTTGGCTTAACTCTAGGTCTATAAAGGATTTTACTGGAAGGAATTAGCCAAGTGGGTCCTTGTAGCAAAGGCATCCATTGGGCCTCTCCTCAACGGGACTCTGAGACAGAGATGGTTTCTGTTGAGAGACTCTGGGTATGTCCCAGCATTCTTAGCATCTGCCCAGCTCAGATCCAGAATAAGACTGGGCTGGTTGGAGACCTACCACTTATCCACAGGAGGCATTCTCTTCTTCTCTAGGGTCATGTGCTCACATATTAAGGAACAGGTGATGTTGTGGGAGCTATTTGTGTTTCTGTGTATGTGCACACATGGGTGCAAATGGGTGTGTGTGAAGAAATTGTGCAGGAGGCCAGGGTCAACCTTGGGTGTTGTTCTTCGGCTCTGTCCAGCTTGTTTTTTGAGACAGTCTCACTGGCCAGTGATCCTGAGAGACCTGGCTGTCCCCGCCTCTCCAGCACCATGATTACAAGTGTTTGTGCCATCTCCCCACTTTGCTTGAGTTCCGGGGATCAAACTCAGGTCCTCATTCATATTTTTACAGAAAGCACCAATTGAGCCATTTCCTCAGCCTATGTGGGGACTATTTTTTTTTAATGGTTCTAAGTGACTTTTTATATTTTCTCTTTAAGATTTCTTTATATATGTATTTATGTATATGGGTACTTTGCACGTAAGTCTACACACCAGAAGAGGACATCAGACAGTTGTGAGCTGCCATGGGGTGCTAGGACTTGAACTCAGGCCCTTTGGAAGAGCAGTGAGTGCTCTTAACCATTGAACCATCTCTCCTACCCTGTAAATGGAGTCTTTTTAAAAAAATTATCCCTAATTTACTTTTTAAAAGAAAAGGAAGTAGATTTTACCCCGAAGAGTAGAAAGTCAATTTCAGTTTTTCAATGAAACAGACCTGGTCGAGTTCTAGTTATTGAAGCAGAGATTAAACATTTGGAGGAGGAAGTCATGTGTGGCACGGTGCTGGGTAAGCCTTGGTGCTGACCAGGCAGGCCTGCAAGGCGTCTGTAGTTGCTTCTTCATAATTTCTGATGACGTAGCTTGATATTTCCTTTAATGGCAATGATCACATAGGCTGTTTTGATGATTTTCCACCAGACCCTTTACAGACAGGTTTTCATCTGATATAACAGCCTTGTGTGGGTGCCTGATCTTTATCAAACGGTGATAGCGTGAACTTTTATTCGCTTGAACTCCGGACGCTACATAGCAATGAACGAAGGCGGAGAGTCTAAAGGAGAAGCTCAGGATGATGGCCGAGAGCCAACGATGGAATCTGCCTTTAACTCTTAAGGGGAATATAGTCTGATGCGTCCTTTTCAGAATTGACTATAAACTGTGAGGCAAGACACTGATGTCTGCCTTGGTTGATTCATGGCACCTGTGGTAGTGGGCACTGGGCAGCTGCTAAGGAAATGTGACTGGAATTGCATTATCAACATTTACTAGTATGTATGTATGTATGTATGTATGTATTTAATATGAGACAGGTTTCGCTGTGTACTCTTGCTAGCCTAAAGAAGGACGCTTAAAAGAAATCTCACACTAGCTCAGAACTGAGTATAATAGAGGGTTATTTATTTAGGGATAGGCTCCCAGATCATAATCCTCTGCTGGAACAGGGGACAGCAAACCGAATCCAGCAGCCAGAAAGAGGCCGGATGCGCACTTTTCATTGGCATATACAGTGTAAGAGGCCACGCCCAAGTGGGCGGGTAACTTAAAGGCTATTGGCGGTAGGAATTCCTACAGCACTAGCCTGCAGTTTGCTTTATATATCTACCCGGCCTCGACTTTGTGGGGGTCCTCCTGTCTCTGCTTCCCATGTACTTAGATTATGTAGGAACTGGGCTTTGAAACACGATTTAGAGATGGGGTGTGGAGGGGGGAGGATTTCCACGTCGCGCTGCTGACTCACTTCCTTCCTCCTCCTCTCTCGCTTTCCTTTCCTTTTTTTTTTTTTTCTTCCTTGAGCCGGATATCACTATCTGGCTAGCCTGAAACTCACAATATAGACCAGGCTGGCTTCAAACTCATAGAGATCCGTCTGCTTCTACCTCCCAGTACTAGAATTAAGGGCATGCACCACCACTTAACCTAGATATTTCTTATGTTAGACAAGTTTTCTTGTAGGACATTAGTATGGTTTTTCAACCATAGGGTAAAAATAAAAGTCAAAAGAAACAGAACCTTTTTTTTTCCTTTTGTTTATTAGAAAAACAAGAAACTTGTTTTGCTTTTTTTTTTAGTTCAGGAGTATAATTTAGATTTATTTATTTACCTTTGTTGAGGCAAGATCTCTCTCTGTAGCTCTGGATAGCTTTGAACTCAGCAATCCCCCTTTCTTAGCCTCCCAGGTGCTGGTATTATAACCATATGTTACCATTCTTGGCTTAAAAGTTTATTTCTAATTTGACAAATAATTGCATGTATTTATAGGGTACAATGGGATATATTGATAGAGTGATCTTATCAAGCTGACTAACGTATCTGTCACTTTATATACTTATTTATTTGCAGTGGGAACATTTAAAATTTCTCTGGGTGTTTCTGAAGTATGTTATTGTCAACTGCAGCCACCGCGCTGCACGGCAGGTCTCTTAAATTGACTCTTCCTCATTAGAATAGCTACCCTTGATTAACTCCTCCTTTGCCTCCCAAGCTCCCTGACTTTCAGTGAATTTCTACTCTCTGAGAGTTAGACTTTTTTTTTTTTTAACTTATTTTATGTACATTGATGTTTTGCCTGCATGTATAGCTGTGTGAGGGTGTCAGATCTTGGAGTTACAGACAGTTGTTAGCTGCCATGTGGGTGCTGGGAATTGAACTCAGGTTCTCTGGAAGAACAATCAATGCTCTTTTTTTTTTTTTTAAAGATTTATTTCTGTATACGAGTGCTCTATCTACATGTACACCTTTATGCCAGAAAAGGGCATCAGATCCCACTATAGATCAGAGCCACCATGTGGTTGCTGGGAAATTGAACTCAGAACTTCTGGAAGAACAGCCAGTGCTCTTAACCATTGAACCATCTTTCTAGCCCCCAGCGAGTTAAACTCTTAAAGTTACTGCATATAAGGAAGGTTATGGAATATTTATCTTTCTGTGTCTGGCTTATTTTACTTAGTGTGACATCCTTCCAGGCTTATACATGTTTTTGCAAATGGCAGAATTTTCCAAAACATGTGTATGATTACTGAAATATGCTTATAAAATAGAAGCTACAGCACCACCCTAGAAGATAGAATACTCATTTATTATAAGGATAACATATGAATGTCAGCTTCATTCTTAAATATTCTGTGAGCTGTGAAAATAAGATTTCTTGGCTTAATGGAGGTAATCATCTTAGACATATACAGACTCTCTCACTGATAATATTGCTTCTTATGTGATGTTTTGGAGTGATTTGAATAATTAGGGCACTAGACTAAAGGTCTATTGATTCAAAATGGGACACGGAGAATGGGTATTCCTTTTATACTTACATTGAGCCTCTTTGTTGTACCGCCATTTTGAAAAATGTTTGGCAAAACCACTTAACTATTCAGAATGTGTTTAGATTTAATTTTTTCATTAATTTGATGTTTTCCTTGTTTCAGATTTAGTGGAGTTCAATTTGGGTAGTCCCAAGAACGTTGGTCCCTTCCTTGCAGTGGACCAGAAACACAACATCTTGCTCAAATATCGCTGCCATGGTCCACCCATCCGCTTCACGAGTGTCTTCAGTAATGAGCTTCACTATGTGGCCAATGAACTGAATGGGATTGTGGGAGGGAAGAACACAGTGGTGGCCATAGCTGTGTGGTCTCACTTTAGCACATTCCCCTTGGAAGTCTATATCCGGAGGCTCAGGAACATCCGACGAGCTGTGGTCCAACTCTTGGATCGAAGCCCTAAGACTGTGGTTGTCATCCGGACAGGCAATGCCCAAGAGCTGGGGCCTGAGGTCAGCCTTTTCAACAGTGACTGGTACAACTTTCAGCTGGACACTGTCCTTCGGAGGATGTTCTCAGGGGTTGGAGTCTATCTTGTCGATGCCTGGGAGATGACCTTGGCTCATCATCTACCCCACAAGCTGCATCCAGATGAAGTGATTGTGAAGAACCAGCTGGACATGTTCTTATCTTACGTATGCCCCTTGGAGACCTAACTATCTACTAAAGGAATCACATTTGGTGACCTTTCCAATTGACTTGTAGTATAGAAAATTTGTGATTGGCTCCATTGTGAGATGGATGTTATTAATATGTTTGACATTTCAAAAAAAAGAGCTGTACTTTGCATAATGACTTGTAAAGAACTTAGGCAGCGTAGACTGCATTTGTATCTACCTGTAGGATTTTTCCGTCTTGACACAGCCATTGTAGAGCTCTTATTAACAGCATCTACACACTGTATTGCCCTGTAACCAAAGATGCTAACGAGTGTATTTGAGCTAGCTTCTCCCGGGGTGGAGATTTCTGTGCTAATGCCTCCGTGAAGTGTTTTGAGTAAACAGAATGGATAGATTTGGTTGGCAGTGCTTTGTGTTCCATTTGCCTGGTAAAGGAAGTGGAACACGTCTTCATGATCAGCACAAGGATCCCTCCTCAGGAATAGAGCATTTATCGCCAGAGGTTCTCAAGGCCACGCTGAAGACTGCTGTATCTCAGGAGTTTCTATTGACTTTTTTCCCCTGAATTACTTGGAAAGGCCAATGTGTGTGGTCAGAATTTTATAATAAGGATATTAACAATTTCCTGCTTTTGTCTTGGAAAGAAGCAAAACAGAAGCAGAAATCTGTGCTTTGGATTGGTATTCACATTTGATAATTATTTCTTACTAGATTCAGCTACATTTTAGGTGATGAACAGTTATTCTAGAATGACTGCTTTTGGAAACAAATATGGAAACAGAAGTTTATTTTCATGTTCTGGAGCGTGTGCGTTTTGAGAACTGATTCTTATGTAAAGAATGCTGCCGACTGTCATAACATTGTAGAGTTTCTCCAATCAGCAGTTCCAAGTGTTTCTCTTCTCTTTTAGCTGTCATGAAGCATATGCTGAGTTAGACATTAAACCAGATCAGAAATTAATAAAATTAGATATTAAAGTCTATGGTAGGTATTTTTTGATTTGGGCATAAATTATACATACACATTATCTCATGCTTGGGAATAAAAAGCTCCTATTTAGCTCTCTGTTATTCCTGCTAGCTTTTCGTCTTTAGGGACTGTGGCTCAAACCCAAGACCTTGACCATGCTAGGCAGACGCTCGGCTCTCCGGAGTTACATTCCTAACCCATTTCTGAACATCCAAAAATAAAAGGATTGGCCATTTTTATTGGACTTTGTCTTAATACTATTAAATGGTTTGAAATTAAAATTAGGATATTTAATAAGTAGTTTTTGCATTACAAGAGGTTATAATTCACTTTTGCTTTCCCTAAACAGATATGCATAAACATTGGGGTGTCTTGGGAGATAAAGACAAATGCTTAAAGCAAGAAAAAATGCACCCTCCAAAGAATGAAAAATTGGGGCTTGTAATGTAGAGGATTTAAGTTCTTCCGTTTCTACTCTCGAGGAGACCAGTAAGTTTATAAAATATTTTGTGGGGGAAAGTTTTATAATTGTTTTTGGAGTCTGAGCAGGCCAGTGAAGCTAAATATTTATGACAGCTTAGTTTTTGCGGGACTGAGCTTGAAACTGCTGGGGCCTTATGCATGCTAGGCAAGCTTTCTGACTCTGAGCTAAACACCCGGTTCCTTTTTTTTTTTCTTGTTAACTTTTTATTTTTAGAGAAAGTCTCAATAAGTTCACAGATTGGTCTTGAACTTGGTTTGTTGCTTACATAGATAGGGTTTGAATCTGCTATCTTCCTGCCTTAGCCTCTCCAGTAACTGGACCTATATAGGCTTTGCCACTGGCCTGGTTAAAATGGCTTGCTTTAAATGGTCCTTAAGCTTGCAGTGTTTGATTAAAAATGAATCAGAGGCTATACCTCCAGGGATTATGGAATGAATCTTTGTGACAAATGTCCAGAGATTCTGATGCAGTTGTAGGGTTCCGTATTTTGAGAGACAGTGACAAAGAAAAGATTGATCTAGAGAAGTAACATTACTTATCTATTATTCAAAGGCTTTATCAAGTTCTTAATTCTGGTCATGATTCAGAAATACAGATGATAAACTGGGTGGTGGTGGCAACACCTTTAATCCCAGCACTCGGGAGGCAGAGGCAGGTGGATCTCTGAGTTCGAAGCCAGCCTGGTCTACAAGAGCTAGTTCCAGGACAGGCTCCAAAGCTACAGCGAAACCCTGTTTCAAAAAAACCAACCAAACGAAACAAAACAGAAATATAGGTGATATTAGCTCAATTTTTTAATAGGAAGAACTCAAGTTTGAATTGGACTAAGGTATGTGGAGTCCATGGCCCTGCTTAGCTACAACTTGTTTGACTTCTACGAAGAGATTTTATGTTAGAGAACTTTAGAACATTTCCTTCGGGAGGATTTTGGGAGGAAGCCAAAGAATCACTTTCCCAGTGAAGCTTCAAGGACCACCCACCACTGGGTTAGAGTGATTTCTATGGCTGGTTTCCTTTGACTTTGTTCAGTTTCTGCTTTTCAGTTTGCTGCGCGAGGTCGTGGCGCTTTGATGGCACAGTTTCTTGAAGCCCCTTTACCTCTCCCTCCCTGTTTATCTTTATCCACTCTGGTGTGGGAATGTTTATCCAAAGTAGAATGGCGCTTAAATATTTCCCAGAACAGTGAGATGCAGGTTGAGCATTTCTAATCTGAAAATCCAGAACTCTCCAAAAGCTAAAGCTTTTTGACTCAATGAGTCACACTCAAAAGACAGATGTGGGACTGGAGACACGGCTCAGATTTTGGAGTATTTGCTATTCTTCCAGAGGACTGAGCCTGAATCCCAGCCGTCATACCAAGTGACTCACAAACCACCAGTAACTGACGCTACAGGTGGATCCCATGCCTAGTTTTTGTCTACAAGGGCACCTGTATTCGTGTGGCATTCGCTCACAACAGAAGCAGACAGACCCACACACAGACATAGACTTATAGACACCCAGACAGACAGACGGATGACCACACACCCACACACACGGGAACACACAATACACAGATAAAATACTAAAAACCAGGTGTAGCATATACTTTTAATCCCAGTTCTTGGAAGGCAGAAGCAGGCAGGTGCCTGTGGATTCAAGGTCAGCCCGGTTTACTAGTGAGTTCCACACTTTAACCAGAGGAACTTGATGAAACATTGTCTCCGAACAAACAAACAAACAAACACAAAACAAACAAACCAACTAAACCAAATGCGCACATACAATAAGAATATAAAAAGTCTTAAAAATAATCTTTAGAAAGCAGACATGCTAAATGTTACATAAAATTTCCTTTAAGGTATATATATGTAAAGTATATGTGAGACCTACATTTCCTATTTAGGCTCGTGATACATTAATGAGTTATATACATACATGTGTGTGAATATATATCATACACATATTTATATTCCCAAATCTAAAATAATTTAAAATCTAACAGTTATGGCCTCAAGGACTTAAGATAAGGGCTTCTCAATCTTATAAATATTTTATAGGTCAGTTAGTCCCACATAGTTGTGAATTTCAGCATGCCAGATGACAATGTTTAAATACACATTTCTCTTGATAAATACAAAGGTAATCATAGTTTTAAAAAACTTCAAAATTTTAATTCAGGACCCAATTCATAAATCAGCTGAACATTAGCTAATTCAATTGACTTCAAATGAACATTAGATATACTTTCTTTTTTTTAAACCATATACAATTGATCATCTATTTCTAGGTTCCATATCACTGGCTTAAGCCAACTTCACATAAAAATATCTGGGAAAATATTGCATCTATACTAAATGTATACACTTTTCCTGTCATTATATATAACCAATAAAGTATAGCATCAATTTATATAACATTTACATACTAGTATGTGTTATAAGTAAACTAGAGATGATTTAAAGTATGTGGGAGGATGTTTGTTAAACACGGATACTATGCCATTTTCTATAAAGGAGCTGAGCATCCACAGATTTTAGTATAATTAAGCCCGAGTCGAGTATCCTCAGACTATAGTATAATTGATCCTGGTGCCCAAACCCTGAGTGATCGCTGGAGTTGGAATCACAGAGTACATGTTATTTGGGCCTTTACAAAATTAACCTATAGTATAAATATTTTTATATGTTAAATAGCCTTAATAATTATGAAAGTCTGCCTAAAATTGTGCTATCTAGTAACAGTTTTATTATGTTAGTTGGTCATGATGGTCGGATGTTTGGGCTTGTAATAAAATATTGAAACTTGTTTATATACAATTTTGTTGAAATAAAATATGAATTTGAGGGGCTGGAGAGACGGGACAGCAGGACAGCAGTTAGGAGCACTCGCTGCTCCCACAGAGGTTTATGGGTTTGATTCTCAGTACCCACATGGGCTCACAACCATCTGGAATTCCAGTTCTGGGGCAGAGGTGTTTCTAACTCCTTCTGGCCTCTGTGGGCACCGAATGCATGTGGAGTACATACATACACACAAGGAAAACAAATAACATTTATATTTGATGTGACAGTATTCATATTACTGAGCGACCCATACTCCTGAACTGAAATGATTAATTTGCTGGTATTGTGAAAGGAAAAGCCCATAATAAGAATATTCTACGGGAATTATACTTCTAGAAGGTATCCTATTAAGAATAAGTTTTCTTGAGTTGGAGCAATGGCTCAGCACTTAAGAGTTTGGCGGTTCTTGAAGCAGGACCAGCTTGGTTCCCAGCACTCCTATCAGAGGCTCTGCAACTTCAGGATATCTGACCCCTCCACCTCTATCACTTGCATGTATACACGCCATGTATACCCCTCCACATGTTTACATGCAATTAAAATAATTCAGTAAATACAGAACCGATCCTAAGTATTCCAATGTATGTCAACCATTTTACCATTCAGTATATTAATACCACCTGACAGACTTGCTTGTCTTGATAAGTTTCAGATGGCTAAATCAGAGTCCTTGGCAAGAACAAATATGGTAAGCCTTTACATATTCCTGTGATACATATAAAGATGAGTCTCCTGTTTCTGAACCCAGACGAAGAAAATGACAGTCACTGAGTGGGGGCAGGGAAATACGCTCTGGAGGGAGGTAACAAGACGTCTTAATTCTCCTACAGAATGAGGTTAAGATTATTTTACAATGCAGGGTCAGTGTACTCAGAATAGCTGCTACATGGGTGGGCAATAAATATGATTTTGGAATTGCTGCTCCCTCTTTCAAAGTGGGTCTGCAGTGCCTGGAGCAATTTGGGAATCCTGGGGCAGTTGAGAGGCAGCGAAGGACCAGAAAGCTGTTGAGGCAGAAGTTTAAGATACAGAAACCAGGGTAGCAAAAATGTGCTTCATCAGTTCAACTTAACCCGTCCTTTTAAAATGCACCTACCTTTAAAAATTTAAAATAATTTTTATTAAATGGAATTTTATATATAGAGTTTAAGCATGAGGATTAAAAGAAAAAGAAGCACTCAAAAGAGAGAGAGAGAGAGAGACCTTTTGGTGTGGGCATCTCTGAGACAGAACTGCCAGAAACTCATTTTAGGATATTTATCTCTTTAAAGAATGCTAACCAGGCCAGGCAATGGTGGCACATGCCTTTAATCCCAGAACTCGGGAGGCAGAAGCAAGGTCAGTCTCGTCTACAGGAGCTAATTCCAGGACAGGCTCCAAACCTACAGAGAAACCTTGTCTCGAAAAACCAAAAAATTAAAAAAAGAAGAATGCTAACCGGGTAACCGGGACTGGAGAGATGGCTCAGTGGTTAAGAGCATTGGCTGCTCTTTCTGAGTTAATTCCCAGCACCCACATGGTGGCTCAAAAACATCTACAATCAGATCTTATGCCTTCTTCTGGCATAAAGGTGTACATGCAATAGAGCATCCATATACATAAAATCAATAAATCTTAAAAAAAGAATGCTAAGGGGGCTGGAGAGATGGCTCAGCCGTTAGGAGCACTGAGGACCTGGGTTCAGTTTCCAGCACCCACATGGCTCACAACTGTCTGTGACTACAATTTCAGAAGAACCGACACCCTTCTACAAGCACACACACAGGCAAAAAGCCAATGCACATAAAAACAAATTTTAAAAATGCTAACTGAAATGCACCACATACACACAAAATTTCCTTTTTAAAACAAATGAGAGCTGGTCATGCCTCTTGAACGCTAAGGAGCTGAAGTCATGATGTGGATGAACAGTCTTCCTGCCGCTATAGGACCCTG